ATGCCCAAGGGGGTATGCATAAATCTCATTGTGAGGAAGTAAAATGGACATTACTAGTAGATGGGGGAGAGTCTTTGAAGGGAGAATGGATATGGGAACAGGAGGGATCATGTGGATGGAGGATGGGTTGAGAGAGAATTAGGAGAGACAATGGAATATGGGGCATCACTGGGATGAGATGGAAACCTAGAGCAATGGAAACACTCAGGAATCTATGAGGGTGACCTAGTAACATAGAATATGTCAACTGATCTAGCCATCTCCTGTAACAAGGCAAGATTTCCTGCAGAAGGACTGGGACACCAGCCCAGCCACAAAGCCTTCAACCTACAATCTGTCCTGCTGACAAAATTTGCTTGGGTAAAGATGTGGCAGCAATTGGGGGAATGAACAAGTAATGACTGGCAGAGCACAGACCCATATCCTGAGAGGGGCTCCCCTCTGAGGGCCAGCACCCAGAGGCAGTATACCCCAGAGATTTAGGATAGCAAAAATATGAATGGCAAAGGAAGTCAATGAAATTATATACTGCTTTTCTCATAGATTGATGTCTAGTACAACAGTCATTACATAGGCTTCACCACAAAGCAACTGATGGAAAAATATGCAGCTACTACAGCCAAACATTAGGTGGAGCTCACAAATATCCTTGAGAACAGGGCAAGGCTGGAGTGTAGGGCCCAGTGATATCAAAGTCACCAAAAGAAAATCCACAGAATCAACTAACCTGGGCTCATAGGGGCTCATAGACAGAACAAACAACAGTGGACCTCCATGAGACTGATATAGGTGCTGTGCATATATATTATAGTTATGTAACTTAGTGTTCATGTGAAACTCCTAATAATGAGAGCAGGGCGAGTCTCTGACTCTTGTGATTCCTTTCAACACCCTTTTCTGATACCAGATTACCTCATCCAGCCTTAATAGAAAAGGAAGAGACTAATCACCCTGCTATTTGATATACCATGGCTGCCTGAAATCATTGGGAGGCCCACCAGTATCTGAAGAGTAACAGTAGAGGGGAATGGAGTGGGTGGGGGTAGTGTTGGAGGGAGTAGGAAGAGGGGAGTGAGGGAAATTTTGGTTTGGATGAAAAAACAAAAATAAATAAATAAATAAGCCAAAAATAAATCATGAATATAACTCTCTAACCTAAAGAAGGAAATGCCTATCAAAGTAAAAAAAAAAATGAAGAACCCAAAATAGACAACAGAAAAAAACAGACAATCAGGAAAAAAAGTTCATTCAGCCCATAATCATAATGAAAGAACTAAACATGGAGAACAAGTTATGGATGGATAGTCAAGGCCTGGAATGGGATAATCAAATGAGGAGGGAGAAAGGAGAGGGACTTGAAGGAGGGAGGGAATATGAGGAGTGACAGCTAAAATTAAGGAATACATCAGTGAATGTATGAAAACCTAGTACAATAAAACTTCTTAAAATATATACACATATGATTACAATCTAAATAATATTACCAAATAATGGGGGAGATTGTGTTCCAAATGACCATCTCTTGTCTGGTATTGGGTTACACCTAATGAGTTCTTGGCCAAAGGGATTCCACAGGACCCCTAACACAAGCCTTTGCCAAGACTATAGGTTGCTCTCCACAAACTGACAGCAAGGACTCATTGCTGAAGACAACACCTTTATCACTCATTGAACATGGAGATGCTGATGATTACATACAGCTTTCAGCTCCGCATTCCATCATCGTTATTAAAAGATGGTACTATGCATACTATCAAAAGAGAAATGCAAACATTAATCTAGCCACAAATACTTTGATCTACAATTTTGTCCTGCAAGATATGCTAGAGTAATGTTTGCACAAAGCTCATGGGAGGAAATAACCAATAATTTATTTTACTTAAGGCCCACTTCATGAGATGGAATCCATACCTGACACTGCTTTGCTGACCAGAGGTTAGATAGCCTGGGGACCTAGTGTAAAGGAAACTAATACTGATCTAACAATTTAGTGACAAAATGACTCCTAAAGATATACTGTTATGCTCAGATTTGTGCCTTGTTTAGCCATCATCAGAGAAGCTTTCTCGTGAAGCTGGCAAGAACAAATAAGAGACCCACAGACAGACGTTACACAGAGTGGATACTTTTGAACAAATCAGTTCTTAATGGTATGTTTCCACTAAATCCCTCCCTCTGTAGCTCCAAGAACTCCTACTCAGAAGAAGAAAGTGTAAGAGCCAGAGAGGAGGGAGGACATGAAGAAAACAAGGCCCTCCACATCAGCATGAGAAAAACACATTGAAGCCACATTCTGCAGCATGCTGCACTGTGCTCCATGTCTGTACCAGTTCTCTACTTATAAATTAGAGTTTCTAGTTTCATGATTTTATGGGCTTCCCAATTGATCAAACATAGAGATCACTGATTTTTGTGCCATTTCTTGTGATGCTTTTGTTCTGGTGATTTGTCTTGTCCAACTCTAAGATGATAGTATTGTTTCATCATATTGTACTTTATTTTGTTATAATTTCTAAAAATGAATGAATGAAAGAATGAGTGAATGAATGAATTAAAATCTAGCCACTGGGGTAAAGGTTAACACCTGAATTGTCATTTATACCTGCTGAGAGAGGGAAAATCATGTTTCTGCAGTGCAGTGACCCTGTATATATCAACCACTCTAGGGCAGTCTTCATGTTCAGGAGCAATTGACTGACATATAATAGACTCCATAGTTTTGTGTATGTGGGGGGGTGGTGCCCACAGTTGGTTACACTTTGGTGTTTTACTTTTGTTCCTTTTTTATTAGTATTAGAAATTTTCTATTCATTTTACATACTGACCACAGATCCCCTTCCTCACCTTCCTCTGACCCCCATATCCTTCCCCCTCAACCCACACCCCCATTTCCGTCTCCTCCAATGTGAGACCTACGATGGGGAGTCAGCAGAGCCTGATACACTCAGTTGAAGCAGGTCCAAGCCCCTACTCTGCTGTGGATATCTATTGCTCTGTATAAATAAAAACTGATTGGCTAGTGGCAAGGCAGGAAGTATAGGTGGGACTAACAGAGAGGAGAAAAGAGGAAACAGGAAGGCAGAGGAGAGACTGCCTGGAGCCGCGACCAGGACAAGGAAGACGTAAAGTACCGGTAAGCCACGAGCCACATGGCAAAGTAAAGATTAATAGAAATGGGCTAAATATAAGAGTAAGAGCTAGACAATGATAGGCCTGAGCTAACGGCCAAGCAGTTTAAATAAGGTAAGAGTCTGTGTGTTTATTTTATAAGTGGGCTCTGGGACTGGCAGGACTTGGCGGCGGGAGCTGGAGAGAAATTCTCCAGCAACACTACTCCTGCACCAAGGTTGTGTAAGTTGTCCCACCCTAGGATGTGTGGACTCTCCAAAGCCTGCCTTGCACCAGGGATGGTTCCTGATCCCACTGTCAGGGGGCCCATATAGCAGAGCAAACTACTCAACTGTCTTGCCTATGCAGAGGGCCTAGTCCAGCCTCATGGTGTTTTTCTCTTTTGCTATTGTTTTCATTTGGGGAATTTTTTTTAACAAGGAATTTAAAGTTGGATGTGTAAGGAAGGGGAGACGATTTGGAAGGAATTGTGTGAGGGAAAGAATCTGATCAAAATATATTTAAATTGCCATGTGTGGTGGTGCTCGCCTTTAATCCCAGCACTCAGGAGGCAGAGGCAGGCAGATTTCTGTGTGTTCAAGGCAAGGCTGGACTACAAACTGAGTTCCAGGACAGGCTCCAAAATAATATATAATTAATAATTTTTTAAACAATAAAAAATATAATAAGAGAAAATAAAAGCAACAAAAAGTTACAACTATTAGCAGCCTTTGTCATCACCAGAGTCTACTTCTATAAGGTTAGCAGTGGCTGTAAGACTGCTACTCCTTAACTAAATTTTTGAAGAATTCTGAAGGTGGACAAGTATTTTTTCTGACAGACTGTTTGCTCAGGACAATTTTGTTTTGCTCAGTAAAAAGTACAATTGATATCTTTATCATTGATTATAAATGTGTAAATGATGGTTGCATTTCACATATACCTTTCAAACTACTTAAATTTTTGAGTTGCTAATAAATGATAATACTTTTTTGCTTATATGCTTGGTTTCATTATTATGTGCCCATCATTAGAGGGAAGATTTTTTTAATTACATGAAAATAAATTAGACAAATGAACTTCAAAATTATTTTCCTTAGTAGTCTTTTGAAACAAGGTCTCTTGTACCCAATGTTGGCCTCAAACACACCAGACAACCAAGGATGGCCTGTGGTTCTGAGTCAGTCTCTACCTCTCAGTGCAAGGTTTACAATCATGTGACACCCTGCCAAGATATGGATTTTTTATGTTTAAAGTAAGAGATATTTGTGACAAGCATGTATTACTTAAAAATATTTATGACTTTCAGTGGGACATTTCAATGAAATGAAACCTGCAAAATAACATAAGGGTATGGCCTATCAGAGTATTTAGATATATTTCATTACTTAGTGTTGAAACATTTTAGATATTCTCTTCTAAGAGTATTGAAATTTCCAGTGTCTTCTAGCTCACCATGAGAAACCCTCAGTACTTCAGAGCACAGGACACCTTACTCCCTGAAAGATTGCATGCCTTTTTCCCTCTTCTTTTCATCAAAGGGAGATGGCATACATTTCGGCACATCAGTGGTGTGACACTGTTTACCCCTTCCCCACTACCACTGGGTTATCAACTGTATCAAAATTGTTACATAGACAGATCTGAAACACCACTAGAACAAGTTTGAGCTACCCCAACCTATTTCAGGGTCAAGTAGGGTGGACTAGGAGGCGGGAGAGTAAATGACAGATGCACCTTAATAAAGGAAATACGGTATAATCTCACATTTAGTGACTCTTCATGACCCTACCAGTGATAGAGTAGGTGGAATAGGGATACTGAGCAATGTGGGGTGCTGCATGGGCTGAATTGCTAAAGGATTTTGTGATTGCTGTAAGAATGACAGTTACCTTTTTCATGTCTTCATAGCTGAGTAACAGGAAGTTGTCATTTCCTCTCATAGACAGCCAGTCACGGGTGTGCTCAAACCATGATCCAAATGGCACTGTGTGAAAGGGGAAGGAAATTATTGATTACAAAGAATAAAATTGAGGTCTGCCTGTTATTATTCACTTTCCACAAACGGCAGACAACTTTACTAAGAAAAACAAAACCAATATTTACAGCATTTAATGTGATATTTTATATAGCCATGTCAGAGGAGCAGTAGGCAACAACTGAAGATCAGTAGGTTGGTCCACCAGGGAGGAAAGTTCTAATGGGTTAATCTCAGATAGGTAAGGCCCCAAAGGCTTTGGCTCTAGAATGTCTTTTGCTAAGGTTGCCCCTTAACATTTACGCCACTGTTATTTTCCTATGGTATCTAGCATGGTGTAAATGCATGTAGGAAGATCCCCACTTCCCTTAATTTATTATGACTATCTCCAGGAAATTTCCCATTCTACTGGGCATTTTAATTTGTGGATTATTATAAAAATGATTTTCTCCTAAGCTATTCTGTTTAGAGCAATGATTTTATACAAAATAATAGTGTTGGTTTAAACAGCATTTTGGTGATTTGGGTTCTTTAATAAATGTAGAAATTGATTATGATAGAGTTTAGTTGAGTGTAGAAACTAATAAAGTCAAAAGCAAGATATGGTGTTTCCCCTGCCCATGATAAAGCATGGGCTGCAGAGGATAGAAAATAAGAACAAGGAAGTTACACATACCTAGTTTCTTTTGAGGATCCATATGGATTGTGGTTTAGATTAATGATTAAGAAAAACAATTGTGTTGTAGAATATTTTTAAAAGTATGTTACTTTTTTATGCTGCATTTGTTTAACTCTGTGAAGTTGTGTTATTGCACCTGTCTAAACACCTGATGGTCTAATAAAGATGTGAAGCCAATAGTGAGGCATAAGAAAGGACAGAGGGGGCTGGCAGGCAGAGAACATATAAAAGAATTCTGGGAGTAAAAAAGATCAATGAATGAGAAAGAAATAGGAAGACATCAGAGTCAGCCAACCAGATACACAGCCAGTGCCAGTAGGAGTTACGAATAAGAGTAAGATTTACAGATGTAAGAGAATGGGAAAATCCCAGAGGCAAAAGGGAGATGAGTTAATTGAAGTTAAGGAAAGCAGGCAAGAAACAAGACAAACTAAGCCCAGGTATTTACAAGTAAGAATAAGCCTTGTGTGATACATTTGGGAGCTGAGTGGTAGACCACCCAAAAGAGGAAAAATGAACAACAACACAATTGTGTCCCAAAAGTTAAGCTAGCTCAAGTTCTTTTAATCTTAATTTTGAGAGATGTGACATGGGCTTCAGTGTGCATCATAGCTAAAACAAAGCTTTAAATGTGACGTACAGATACGATAAGATATTTTTGTTAATAACTTTGATGTGAAAATCCTGTGGAAACCATGTAAAGTTTAGAAAGGCACATAGTTAAGTGAGGGACTCATTGAGGTCAAGAAACAAGAACAAAGCAGCCTAGTTATTATTTGCGGATGGATATTTCTTGTTAGGATGGTTTGGCAATTCAAGATGATGATTAATTCCTTAATTCTTAAATCCTGATAATTAATTCAAAGACAGAGATTAATTAATGCCCAATTTGCCCTATGCTTCCTGATACAAAAAAAGCTATTGATGAAGGAATACACAATCTGAGTATTTAAAAGACAGAAGACTGATTGTTTTTCATATATAATAATTTAGGTTTGTGATTCTTTTAAGATTATTTATAAGATTACCATTTGAGATAAGTAATAAATCATTGATCCTTCCTTTGTAACCACAAAATTTAGTCTGGCAGTAAAAGAATGGCTGAGAAATATATCTTACTTGCTTATATTCTGTTAATCTATACCAAGTTGCTTGGATATGAATGTATGTGGGTTCTTCGGATAATTTGTTTTACATCCATAATGTGTAGGATGTTTAATCATTTGAGGGAAATTGGAAATCATGTTTTCTAACTGTATTCATTGTAATCATGCACTTGAAAAATAGAATTTTTTTGTAAGTTTTATATTGCCTGCGAGATTTTGTTCAGATATATAAGCCTTAAGAGAAACATAGAGAAAATGATGGAGAAGTATAAATGTTTGTACATGTTTCCTCCTTTTTGTTGGCCCCAGAGAGTTAAATTTTGTCCTCTCTCTCACCCCAGCAAATTAAATTTTACACCCTCTGATAGAAAATTCAAGTTAAGTGATTAGTTTACTGACTCCATGGCTTCCCCTTCAATCCTTGAGCTCCTGAAGGCTGGTCATCATTCAGTGATACCATTTGCCACACACACACAGTTAGTAAGCAGATAAAATCCAGTTCATTAGTGAACTCATCACCTCACAGATTTACTAGTGATGCCATGAGGAGACATCCTATTGGCAAGTAGCAGTGACAAAGGCATGAGTTGGTAAAATGTGATCACCACAGTATAGGAAGCCAGAGGATTCTGAGCATTTCCAGCTTGGGACTTTTTATTACCATCATGTCTGAAGAACTCTATTAACTCCTTCTGAGGGATATCTCTTTCCACTAACATTCACCTCTCAGGTTCCACAACTTGTGGATAGTGACTCCTTAAGACCAAAGACACCAAAACATAGCCAGCTAGAGATGCTCAAGACATAGCCTTCCATAGTCAACACAATGCTTCATTTACATTCATAGTACTACTTTGATGTGTTTTCAATAGTCAGAGTGTCCTAACTGTTCCTGTCTAGTTGTGCTGTCTCTTCATGCCTCACCCGCCATTGCAGGCTTGTGTTGTTCCCCATTATCTCAAGAACCAACTGAATCAAGTTAGGAGAGAAGGTAAGCCTTAAGCCAGTGCCAGAGAAGTAGGATACATGAATTCAATGAATCTAAGATTTGATTGAAACCTGGTGGTGATAAATGATCTACAGAGAATGTGTAGAGATAAAGTGAGTTGCATAATATATGAGAGAATTAAGTCACTTAAAGAGATTGAAAGCTCGGCTCATGTGATAGCTCAATGGAAATCAACTGCCTTGTATGTCACAAGACCTGACTTTGGATCCTCAAAAACCATTCAAACATGGTGATGCACCCTGTTTTATTAAACCTAGTACCCCTTCTATGACATGAAAGGTGGCGACAGGAGATTGCCTGCCTACATGCTTAGGACCTGTCAATTTGCCACACACAGGGATGCACAAGAAGAAGGAGATTGTCTCAAACAAGGTTGAAATCAAGGTTCAACACCTGATATTATCATCTGTCTTTAGCATAAGAACACCTACATTTTCACATTTGCATGCGCTTCATCATAAACACTAATACATACATGCATAAAAAGAAAAGCTAGAAGCCAAGTGAAATGTTGTGTCAAACATATGTAATGCCAAAATTAAGAAGGGAGAGCCCAAAGACCAGGGATTCAATGTAATTTTCAATTACATGATGAATTTCTTGTCAACTTTGGATACAACAGATTCTGTCTCAAAACCAAAAAAACCAAAAGCATGTTAGTGAGTGCACCAAAAATAAGCCAGTGAGAAATACTGATAATAATTAATAGCAGTTCTGCTTTGGGAGTTGTTTTAAAAGGTATTTGTTTGGGGACATGAATTACAAAGTGTATGCCAACAAGGCTGTGGTTGGAAGATTTCCTGTGTCCTGACCTGCTGGCGGTAGGGACACCTCTCTCCCACTCGCATCTCCCAAGTAAACACACAGAAGCTTATATTAATTATAACTGCATGGTCACGGCTCAAACTTTTTGCTAGCTATTTTTTATATCTTAAATTATCCCATAACTATTAATTTGTGTATCTCCACAGGTTCTGTGGCTTTAACTACATCCCATTACATGTTGCTCCTAGGGTGGCTCACTGGCATCTCTTCTCTCCCTTCTTCCTGTCTCTTTTAATTTCCAGCCTGCCTCTAAGCTGCCTTGTTAAATGCTTTATTTATCAACCAATCAAAGCAACACATATTCACAGCATACAGAATGACATTTCTCCTCTTCTGTCTAAACACAAGGAAGGTTTTAACTTTAACCTATTAAAATTATGAATAACAAATGAGTTATCAAACAATAATTACAGTTACAATATCTAGTCTATTTGTATTTTGTAAAATTAAAGAAAATATTCTATCTGTCCTACATTTGTGAGTCTAAGTTTTCATATGTAATTTATCTTTTATCATAACCAAGGAAAATTATAATTAGAACTATCTAGTCTTCAACTACATCAAAGACCCCAGAAGGATATATTACTTAAGTAAACAAGAAATACATTGTATGCAACTTTCAAAAATCTAGAATGACAGAGAGCTGGCTACCTGGACAGTTACATGCAACATTAGGGCATCCTTATTCAGTCTATAAGCCTAGTGTCTCTCAGTTGCTTCTTTGTGTCCTGTGGAATGTCTGACAGTCTCATCCGTTAAGTAGAAACCTGAAGAACCATCTTATTTTGCAAAGTTCAGTGGTCACCTTTTATGGGTCCTGGATGTCCACTTTATACAACATATTTTCTAACAGTCAAGGCAAGGGCAATTTTTTTTTGTGCAGTGGCTAACTTTTGCAGCAAAGAAAGCAAACTTCATAATGAGTTTCTTCAAGGCCCATTATCTTCTCTGAAGTAGATTGGTGCTGCCAGGAGCAGACATGTCTCAATGTCCAGAAAGTCAAAGTTCTTAAAACATTTTAAATGCCATATTCTGTAGGTCTTTGAACTGTATGAAGATTACATGCATAATTGAAATATATCTATGTATATCTAAACAACTTAACTAAAATGACTACAAGTTTGATTATCATAGATGATTAACTATGAATATGTATTTCTTAATGATACATTACAACTTTAAATGAGTTGCACAAACAAAATACTTCCAAAAAGAGTATAAATATACATACAGCATAACAAAATTAATTTTAAATTTGTATCAATAAACTAAAATCTATAGCAATGTAAAACATTTTTAAACAATAATCTACCCTTTCAGCGTATCTTAACTATAACATTCTCTTTTCCTCTTTAGAAAGGAATTGCATTTATAATCAACCTGCTTTAAA